TAGGGTTAACCCTGGAGGCCTCGATCTCTGCTGATACTTTAGTTTCACTCTGGGTTAGGGTTAGGGTTAGGGTTAGGGTTGCTGTTGACACTTTCTAGGAAAAGACGTTTAAAGAAAGACTCATTTCTCATGTCTTTCTATAGCTGGCACCAGTTTTAAGGTTTTGGGGATAATGACCAGGCTGTAAAAAAAAAGGCTGTAAAATGAGCCCCTGGAGGGAGCCTGTTTTTCCCAGAATAAACACATAACGTCTAACGCGTTAAATAGTTCGCTTTAGAAACGCTGGCAGGCGGATTCTGTGACTGTCAGAGCAAATTAAGCGGGACGTTTCCCCGTTTGCAGCCTTTGTGCTAACGATGCTAAGCCTTTGTGCTAACGATGCTAAGCCTTTGTGCTAACGATGCTAAGCGGCTAACAGTAGCAAAGCATGACACAAGCATCAGGCCTAATATTTTAACTCCGACCAAAACGGGATTTACTTACAGTGTCACTACAGGACTGTCTCAGAAAATTAGAATATGGTGATAAAGGTCTTTATATTCTGTAATGCAATTAAAAAACATGAAATGTCATACATTCTGGATTCAGTACAAATCAACTGAAATATCGCAAGCCTTTTATTGTTTTAATATCGCTGATTATGGCTTAGAGCTGAAGAAAACTCAAAAATCCGATATTCTAATATTTTGAGATAGGATATTTGGGTTTTTTAAGTTGTGAGCCATAATCAGCGATATTAAAACAATAAAAGGCTTGAGATATTTCAGTTGATTTGTAATGAATCCAGAATGTATGAAATTTCATGTTTTTTAATTGCATTACAGAAAATAAAGAACTTTATCACCATATTCTAATTTTCTGAAACAGTCCCTGCTCTGCAGCATTTCCAGATTTAGAGCACTGAATAAAAACTTTGCTAAACACGATCCAAAAAATTCAGAGGTACAGTGAAAAACAGGGAGTGAGCTTTGAGGCGCAGGAAAGATCCCCTGAGATCCCGTAAAGAAAAAGAAGGAGGGAAAGAGAGCAGTGGATGATGGAGAAAGAGAAAAGAGGGAGATTTTGCCTCCAGCCTCGGAGAGGATCAAAGGGTTGTGCTCTGCATCTCAATGGACGTCCGGCCACCAATACTGATGAGTCTGGGTGTGATGCTCCATTCACAGGCCGGTTTTACCGGAAAACTATTATTCTTTGTGCAAAAATAGAGGAGCAACCTGACCGAACAGCCCTACCTCATAAGAAAACCAATTATCTGTTTGTTTTAGGTCAAATTTGTAAAATGACAAAGGAAATTCTTTGAATTCTCAGTGATGAGGTTTTGTTTCTTAACCGAAGTACAGCCTAAACTCTTTTTTTTTATATGCCTGATGCTGTGATCGCTCAGAATTAGAAATGACAGGATTTTAAAATTTTTTGTTGTTAAATGATCAAATAATAAAGCAATTTAATACCACCTTTCTTAAGCTACATTCCTGAACTTTAGTGTTTGTAGCTCGTGTGCAGGGTTTTAAATCTCAACTCTTTTTCATGACAAATACAAACTTTCCCTTTTGCATTTGGTCCACACAGGCCACCGTCCTCTCCTCAGACCTTTGAAAAGACGCTTTGCAACATGAAATGATTGCAATATTTTGGCCGTTTGCCAAAGTAACGAGATCTTAAACACCTAAACACGACTTCAAATGCAAACCAGTGGGATGCACAGATTTGACTTCCCCAAACTAACACAATCAGATGTTAGTTTCCACTGGTTTGCATTAGAAGTCGTCTTTAGCTGTTTAAGCTCTCGTTACTTTGGCAAACAGCCAAAATATTGCAATCATTTCATGTTGCAAAGCGTCTTTTCAAAGGTCTGAGGAGAGGATGGTGGCCTGTGTGGACCAAATGCAAAAGGGAAAGTTTGTATTTGTCATGCATGCTTAGTTTGGGAATGTCATGAGAACAATAGAAAACCAAAAACAAACGTTTTCACCTCTCATGTAGATAAAACTGAGTCGTATTTCTGCAAAGCTTTGGCCTCTGTCCAGTGTGTTTAGTTTTATCTGGAAAGGCTGGAGGAAAGACTGACACATTCATTTATGCAACTGTGCTGTTTCCAGCCCGGAGCTTCTCCCTCAGCGCTGAAACCGCGCATCAGATGGACTAACGATCAAAGGATTTGTCCCAGATTATGGACAGCCATTAGTGTAAAACCCTTTGTGTGCAATCTAATGTGGATGTAAAGTACTTTGGAGATGTGGCTGTGTTGTACAGTGTTTAACATCCATACATCAGGCTTGTGTCTGTAGTGAAACCTCCTCTACAAACACATTTCCTCATCGGTTATGAATCTTTTATCTGTGAGATAAACTCAGATATGATGTGGATGTCTAAATAACTGTGCTTTTTGTCGGGGAGAGAATGCATAGGACCATTTTTCTCTGGTGTGTATTCTGTTTTTCTGTCTGCTCCCTGCTGATTAGATTACATAAAACATGAAACCCTTTTACTTTTTAGCTAACAGCTCGACATTTAAATGGACAACAGTATCATAAATAATGTAATCACAGGCAGAAAAGACGGTGTAATTAACCTCACTCAAAAAAGCAACATTTCAATGAACAAATTCAAACAGGAAGTCAAAAATAAATAAAGCAACGGCTTGTCATTAGAGTAGTTCAGTCCTATAAGAATCCACATATAGCATCTTCATCTTTTTTAATGTTGGAATTATCTTTTCTTATAAATATTTCAGCGTTACCTCTCGTTAGTGTGTGTTTTTCTATGGCAGATGGCTGTAAATAATCTGATGAAACACTCATGACCTCCACCGGGACTCTGTCCCATCTCTGGAGAGCCTGTTAATTGTCTGTAATTATCCTTTTCTAGCATGGCATCTGTCAGAAGCGTCTCTCCTCTTCTCACACGGGTAAAAATGCCATTTTGGTAAAGGTTGACTGCAACATTCACTATTTATTGCACAATAGAGCTTGTACAGTCAGAATCTGCCATTACAGGTCTAGAACACATCAGATCAATGGAGCTCTTTTGTTTTTGATGGGAAATGTTTTACTTTTCTGACACAACATGTTGCATACATGAAAGAAACTAATACAGTGCTTTGAATTAAATCTACCAAAGGGGGGAATCGATGTAGCGTTTGTAAACTAGCTTACTTGATTACTGATGTTCAGAATGTGCTCTTCTGTATCCCCGCGGACTCGCCCACAGTTCCTTCAACATTTTAGTGCAAATTTCAATCAATCGACAAAATCACAGAAATCAGACTAAGGAACTTATAAGGCAACGATTATAAATATATCAAAAATAGTCACTGGAGAACTGCGTTTGTTAGGAAAACGGCAAGAAGGTTTTGTCCTGCACCAGAGAGTAGGACATGTTCCTCAGCTCCTCGGCGGACTTTACGGCCTTGTACCCGAGCTGCTGCAGGACTTTGTGGCACGCGTTCTGGGCGTAGTCCACGATGTCGAAGCTCAGCTTCAGGCGCCAGCTCTCCGCGTTGGCCGCCGAGTCCCTGACCGTGCCGAACTTGTGTTTGGCCGAGGGCTCGCTGCTGCCCCGGGTGTTGGCGCCAATCCAGCGCTTCACGTTTTCGTCCATCGCCAGCCCCAGAAAGTCGTAGATCTCCTGCGTCTTTAACAACGGGTTTCGGGCCAGATCCTCGTACCGAACTAGCATGTACTTCCCCCTCAGCCAGCCGGGATTGCTCAGACCCGTGGAAACGGACCCGAAAAAGTCGTCGCAAATAACCGTGAGCTGGCTCAAATCCAGGTTATAGGGCCTCCTGCCGGTGGCCCTCCAGATGCGCCAGAGCCGGTAGGGGTCCCGGAAGGTCTCGATGCGTGAGGACAGGATCCCCCGCGGGTCCCGGACCAGTTGGATGACCCGGATGTTGAGCCGGGGGTCCTCCACCAGGGCCCGCAGGTCCCCCACCTCCGGGACCCGCACCACCTTTATGGCCACGTGCCGCCGGGCCCGGCAGGCCTCCGCCGCCAGGCTCATGTTCAGGGACGAACACTTCCGCACGCAGTCGCCCTCCTCCAGGGCCGCGTCGGGGGGGCCGGGGCCGGGGCCCGGAGGGGGGGCGGGGCCCGAAACTGGTCCTGGGCCTAGTCCTGGGCCTGTGTCTGATGGTCCTGGGCCTGGGCCTGGGCCTGGTCCTGGTCCTGGTCCCGTCTCTAGTCCTGGTCCTGGTCCTGGTCCTGTCTCTAGTCCTGGCCCTAGTCCCGCCCCCGCCCCCGCCCCTGGGCCTGGTCTTGGTCCCGGTCCTTTCTCTGGCCCTGGACCTTGTCTTAGGCCTGGTCCTTTCTCTGTTCCTGGCCCTTTCTCTGTTCCTGGTCCTTTCTCTGGTCCTGTCTCTAGTCCTGGTCCCGCCCCTGGTCCCGCCCCTGGTCCCGCCCCTGGTCCTGGTCCCGCCCCTGGTCCCGGCCCTGGTCCCGCCCCTGGTCCCGCCCCTGGTCCCGCCCCCCCTCCTGGTCCTGGTCCTGGCCCCGGGGCGTGGCAGGCGGGCGGCTGGCAGAGGGCCCGGCTGGCCCCCCTCCTGAACAGGCGGTCTGTGCTGTGGTTGGCGGGCGGGGGCCGGATGTAGTTCTCCAGGAAGTGCAGGTCGCAGCCGTAGAGGCTCCTCAGGAGGTCCCTGCTGGCCCCCAGGGCCACGCGCCGGTCGGGGGGGCCGTGGTAGCGGTGGTCGGGGGGGCTGTGGTGGAGATCGGGGGGGGGGGCGGGGGCGGGGGGGGGGTGCCGGGCGGGGGGGGGCTGGGGGAGGGGCCCCCCCCCCCGGGGGCCGCAGCCGGGGGGGCGGGGGGGGGGGCAGAGCTGCTGGAAGGGCTTGGAGGTCAGGGTCCGGATGGCCGTGTACTGGATGGCGATGGAGGCCAGGGCCAGAAGAACCACGGACTTCCAGGAGCAGTGCATGGCCACGGATCCACATCCAGACGCCCAGGGCCGGGCCTAAACACAGGGGAGATAGGGGTAAACATCAGCCATCTATCATTATCTATCCATCATCCATCAAACATCCATCCATCTATCAAACATCATCCATCCATCCATCAAACATCCATCCAGACGCCCAGGGCCGGGCCTAGAGACAGGGGAGATAGGGGGTAAAGACAGGAGATATAAGGTATATTATCCATCATCCATCTATCCATCAGTTATCTATCCATCCATCATCCATCATC